AACCCTGTGTCAAGAACAGGCCGCCCGAACTTGACCAATGTGTCATTGGTGGGTCCAAGATTTTTTTCAAGGCAGTTCCTTGAAGTCTGGAATTTCCAAAGAGGAAGGCCCTAGCTGAGAATTTATGTTTCAGATAGCACACTGTGCATGGTAAAACTACTTGACATTTAGAGGGCCCAGGCTATTACATTTTTTAAGCAATTCCCTTAAATTCTCCTTTCTTGTCCCATCTGAACTAATTTTCCATTGTTGTCATGCCATTTGAAGGGCATTTTGGTACCATTTTCAATTTTTTCCCTCGTGTAAATTTGCCTATTTATGATGACAGTGTGACAAGGCAGAAATGTCACTGTGATTACTATTTTTACACTTAAATTTGCTTGAATGTTGGACATTGTGCTGTGGTGAATTTCATTCACCTCTGTGACTTGTCTCTGTTTCAGTTCTTGACAGTAGGCCAGTAAGCAAACTTTTTGGCCTGATATTTTTGTTGACCAAATTTGGGGTTCAAAATGTAATCAGAAATCCTCCAAAATGCAGAATGTCTTTGCGTAGCAACATTACAGCCATGACAGCCTCAATTCACATGAAAAGCAAGGAAAGTTGTGAACATTTAAGAAAAAATGTGCACTCTCATCGAGAGTTATGAAAACGAGATGCTACATAGTTTTCTCACACTGAAGAGGAGTAGGAAACAGCACAAGATTTGAAATACTTCGTTACCTGGCCTGAGAAACTGTTGAGGTGCGCAGACTCTGGGAAGAACATGTAGAAATCCGTCCGGCTGCCGACGTCCTTTGCGTACCTGCCATACGTGATCGCCGTATTCAATCTGACGAGAGAAGCACATAAGACTACTCGTTTGTGGCTGTCGGGAACGCGTGGCCCAGTTTGTAATTCCCAATCATCACGTTAGGGCTCACATCGTAGGAAAGGGGCATACACTGTAAATGTGGCCAAGTCACTTCATCCTCATTTGCCTCTGTGGCAACGAGTATACACCACGTGAGGCTAGAAAGGACTATTTGTGGGTGATTAACCTGCACCGATGGTTGTAACCAGACAAACCCTGTGACTGGGCAACACTATCGATGGTCATTTGCGGTGGCCCCCGCCAATGGCGAAAAGCACTGTGATTACTATTTGTATGGGGGGGCCACTGTTCCATGACAGTTGCTTTGTGCCACAGACATCGAAATGCTTTCCACCATTAAAGGGGCCATCAGCACGTCCAGTGAAATGCCACTGGGTTCGTCTTAACTCCGAAGAATGTTCTGGGCCCTGAACTTTTGCTTTTACCCAAAGCCTATCCAGAGCTGTTGTTATGAAGACGCCATTATCAGAAAACAGAATGTATTTGGGAAGACATTTGGACAATTTCAAATTTCGTGCATTGTGATTGGCCAACGTGTTGCAAACTCTTGGTGGCGCACTCTTGTGCAACGGACGTATTGTTGTGTGTCCTCAAAAAGTTGCTAATGATGGTACATCAAAAAATCCTCTCACAGAGATCATGTGGCTATCATCAATAAACACAGATGTTATCATTTATCTGACATCAAGCCTACCTGAACACCAAATCGTGCGCATCAATTTCCTTGCCGGCGTAAGACCCGTTCAAGATACCCCCAGAGCCCACCACTGCGCAGCTGATGCACTCTTTGTCCCGTCTCAAGTTCAACGGCAGATTCTTGAAATTTCCATGATGCAGAAGTCTATTTATGACTGGGAACGAACAGAAATCACAGGGGCGAGTTTGGTTAATAGTTCCGCTCTGGACAACCTGCTACGCAGCTCCAAAACACTGTTATGAGATGGCATGATCGGTTGGTGGATAAGGGCCGGGCAATGTGTGAGCACAGCTGTTTGTCGATTCTCACCTGTGCCGAGAAAAAATTGTTTTCGCTGGGTTGTCTGGTTTTCCTCCCTCGGCAGAAATCAACAGTTTTGACTTCCGGCTGCGCTCCACCATTAGGTTATGTGTCATTAGGCAGCTGCGTAAAAGGCTGCCTTATACTTGGTGAAAAGGAGACTAGAAATGTGATTTGACCCTAACACTCCTCAATCCTTCACCTGTTGGAGGACTGAGGAGTGTTAGGGTTAATGACGTTTGATCAAACATTAGTGCCCTGCATATACGATGAAAGTTGAACATATTCCAATTCTGGCGAATTTGGCTGCAAACATTTTGTGATGTCAAATTCATTTCCCTTTTGCATTTTGCCAGAAGCATGAACAGGCCTCAACGCACACTTTTCATTTCCTTAGCCTGACCACACTGCAGCAGGCCTCCCTCCCATTTCAGCCTTGCATCTCCCACTGAGAATGATCGACCCACAAATATTATTTTCGACCCTCACATTCCCCATACGACTCAGACAGTGGCCTATTAATTTCCAGTTCACAGTGATCAGCGCTCCCTTCTAGGTTGGTCATAGTAATTCACATCTTTGCCCGACACATTTTGTAAAGAATTTCACAAATCTTTTCAACAATGCAAGAAATACAAAGTTTCAAAATAGTTCTGTTCCTTAACCCCTTCATTATT